CAACAGAGTACGCAACATCACGTGACAAATGTCACTGACTGTGTAGCCGGTGTTGATCTATACATGGAGGAAAGAACTTTCCTCCTTGGTCTATAGAAATTCGCTTTGAGCGCCGCTCTGACTGAAGTGAGTCAGTTGAGATGCCTGGATGCCAGTTTAAAGTATGGCCTTGTCTGCTTGCCGGGCGGAGACTTCTGTATAGTTTTTTTTTAATCTTGCATAAAACTTGTTTTGTATTTTATATATTTTTATTGGTTAGGCCTACTGTTATTTTATGTGTGGCAGCTGTTTATTGGCTTATGTTAAATAAAAATAATATTGAGTGTTAAAGGCCTATGCTTGTTAATGTCAAAATATAAATAAAACATACAAGTGAATGTTCGTGTACCGTTGTATTTCATTAATAGGCCTAATTAGGTGCTAATTCTTAACTGACCCAAACAAACATGTAGTGTACAGAAAACAGCATTCAATTCTTATATTCGGACATTTATTTATCCATCGACAAAAAATACAAATATATGCTGTATACACATGCTACAGGCCGCTTTAAATACATGAGTCTAGGATTCGGGGCTAGATTCTGATAGATAAAAGTTAAACTATGATAGTAAAAACTATCCCATTCCGGACATCATCCCGGTATATAGGTTAAGTTGAAAGAAATGAAATAAATATTTACACTGTTTTAATATTTGCCTCGTGATTTTTTGTCGGAGACATCGTATCCCCGTCTGCCAAATCCTGCCGCTACCGGTCCCGTTCAGAAATAAAATCAATTCACTTTGTTTCGTATCGATATTCTTACTTTGTCATGAACGGAAATAAACTGTTTGAAATAGGCATATACCACCAGTTTGCATTAATGCAAATTGCCTAGTAACAGTGAATTCAGTGAGAAACGTTCCCACGATCAGGAGAAGCATGAGAGAAGCAGACACAAGGTCAATCGCATACAGTAGTCTTCTCTTTAAACGCCGCCAACTCAGAAATGTAGACGCTCTAGTGTCTGATCTGATTCTTTGAACGCCGCCTTCAGGAATGTAAACGCGCTGCTCCTCCGCAAAAAGGGAATAACCGACTGCCTTGTTCAGCAATATAAACATGTGCCATGGTTTAACCATTTTTAAAACATAATAATATATATAATAATACAAACATGTATTAAATTCATATAGCCTACAAAGTAAAATACAATGCCGTAGCATACGTTTCGCCACAACGAACTTCCTCAACTGCGGCTGATCCAGGTCAGTGTTTACATGCTGTATTGTGCGGGCTGCGCAGGCACGTGGGAATTAGAAAGTTGGGCAAAAGGTACTTGTTTTGATAGGTCAATTCAAACATCGCACAATATAATCTGGGTAGCAAGGTTACTGGCGATTGCTTTCTCTTCTATAAAACCTACAGGTAACGGTAGGGCTTAGCCTACTAAAATACAAGGAACATTGGGGTTTCCCCAACAAGAAAAATAATTAAATTTAGGCCTTTATTATAAACATTTCTTCGTGAACTGTCACCTAGCGTAGGCTAGCATTTTACTACCAGGCTACTACTATTATAAATATAGGCCTAGGCCTACATAGCCTAGGCACGGTAGTGACACTGAACAAGTTTTGAAGTTGTTTAAATCACGATCAAATTCCAAATTTCGCTGAACGCGTTTAACATTTTGCCATTCACGAGCAGTCAGCCATATGAAAAGGGGAGGAGTTAACTTCCAAACAGAATAAACGGCTCGAACGACAAGCTTCCAAACGGCATTTCACAGACGCGTTTGGGAGCTTGTCATATAACAATAGTAAACGTGTTTGACCCGTTTCTGTCATTGGGGATAATTTGTAGATCACGCCTTACTGATTTTTATGTTATTTTTGGCTATTTTGGCCATTTTTGAGTGTTGTAAATAAAAGTGTATCTTACTCGGTACAGAAATTGTTTTAGTGTTCCCTTTTTTTCTCATGACACCATCATACTATAAGTTAAATTCTGAAAAATAATATTTGGAATATCTATAGGTTAAGTATACTTTTTAATAAAAAGAATTATAAATGAAGTTTAAAATGTTAGCAAAAAATGATATTTTTTTAGTTTAGTATCAATGAATAGATAATTTAATAAGCTTTCATGTAACATGCAAGTACATAATTAATTGTATGTGATATATTGTGCACCTTTAATAACCAAAATTATGATTCATATCAAAATTGACCTAAAATGACCTCAAATCAAAATCAAATCAAATTAAATCATTCTTTATTGCTCACTAATTGAAAATGCAAATTGTTTTTTTTTTTTTGATGAATCACATTAATGAATCACATTAATGAACTTGCCATGATTATCAAATAACTGTACTCATGGGTTGCAAATCTCCTGGGAGTCTCCTGGAAATTGGTATGGTCTCCCGCACTCCCGCAAACAAGCAAAAATCTAAAGGAAATTAATTCACTTATCTCCTGCCAATTCAATAAAATCAAATCTGTTATTTAGGCCTATTTTTGGTTGCCAATTTTTTTGCAGTCCGACAGTGCCTTTTCTGTGCTTCTAAATTGCCTATTCTAAAAAAAAATGTCCTCACCTCAGCCCCAATCATGATGGGCCTGAGGTGGGCATGACCCTTCATTTAGTACAGTACCTGCACTATTCCTCATAGAATATATAGCACCCCCAATGTCATTAAACAAATTTTTCGGAAATGGGTTTTTCTAACTTGAGACCCCTGCAGCTGTACCTGGCATTCACTTGCTACAATAATGTTGTCATCATCATCAACACTTACTGTAGTTGGTCGTATCACCGAACTATCTTTATCACCTCCAATTTGATGAATTGGCCATTCAAACTGTTGCAATCTGTGATTATCAGTTTCAGTAAGTATAACCATAGAGTTTGCTCTATGGTATAACTGACAACTTTTTTGAAAACGAGTTTTTTAGTCACTATCAAGGAACTAATAATTTGGAACATATATTGATATATTTGAGTATGCTCAAATCCCACTAATTAACAAGTAATTAGCAACACAAAAAGGAAGTAAGAGACTAATAATACAGTAAAAACCACCAGAAAAGAAAGCAGGGGGCAAAATCAACAGGCTCCTTTTTCCTTAATTACTCAAAGCAATGCAAACATCAGTTGCTTTCTTTTTAGACAGGTCCCAGCCAAGGATAAACTGCCATTTTTTTCCAGTCAAGTTTTTCTCAGTGGTTTTATCATCTTGATTTGGTTTGATGTCATACCCACTAACCGCTTTGTGGTGGTGACTAATTCTGTTTATTTTTAGAGCAACTAAAGGCAATATTTTGATATTTTAAAAATTAATATAAAAAAATTAATTAAAATCTTAAAATTTCTTGGGTCTGGTTAATAGTCTTCTGATCCATATCGTACCTGAATTTCATTAATGTAGCTTCTATAAATTGCTATTTATTTAATATAGTAAATTATTTTCCTTTCAATAAAATTTTTATTTTATGATTTAAATTTGTATTCCTTGTGAAGAAAGAAACAACCAGTTAGACTTTTCCTCAACATCATGTTTTTTAATGCAGGAAGTATGTTCCACATTTAGTTTGTCTTTTGCAAAAATGTTAATATTATACTGTAATTAGTACCATAACTGTCTCTGCCTACCTGTATAATTTTCTACAGTGATGTATAAAAATATAAATAGATTACTTACTTTCAGTCTGATTATTTTAATATTTTCAAAATCCAAAAGGTTCACTGATATTTAGTAAACCTTAGTATCAAAATGTTTAATTCAAGGACTGTAGTCTGGTATTAAATATGGCTGCCTTTTAAATTGGGAATTTCCACTTCTGGGAGTTATGTGTAGGTGATTGGACAAAAAAATAACAGTACAAAGTAACATAAAAGCATGGGTGATACCATTTTCAAAAACAATGCTGGTTGATACCACTTTGTAAGCAAGATTCTACTTCAACAATGTATCCAAGGGAGTTACATGATACATCTTTGTTAAGGTTGTGTGTTATTTTTAAATGGTATATTAATAAAAAAGTAAAAATATTTAATATGTATGTTAATATTAATATTAATAGAGGTATACTGTATTATTAATTATACCTAAAATTCATTTTATACTTTTTTGGGAGCCAATTCATAATTTTGTTGGGAAGTCAATATTGGTGCTCACTCTACAATGTATAAATAACTTCGCTCATATTTATTGTATATATCGTTTATGTTTTTAAATAAATTTAATGAAATTATTGAAAATTATTAAGTACCATTGAATAAAGCAGTATTCTCTATTGAAAATAATCCTTGCTCCATGTTCTTCAATATAAAAATTAACTATGACACCAATTGCATGGTGTTGATTAAATTGTTCTTAACATCTACCAGGTAGAGGTCTCTGCTGCTGTAGCTAGATATGTAGCCAAAATGGTGCCCTCTACGGAGGCTTCCTTTATGGAAGTGTTGGCACACACTCATTCTATGGCTTGCTCAATCCTGGCATAGTCGAAGATTAATAAATATATTTATATATTAAAAATTCATCACAATAAATATATAAATACATATTGACCAGCGGCATCAAGAGTGCATTAAAACATACATGACAAGGTCTAAGGATTTATTTGAGGTACCCAAAACAAGTACTGAATATAAGAAAAGAAGTTTTTCCTATCAGGGAGCCATTGTCTGGATTAACATAAACCTCAATATGAGAATGGCCCCAAAAATGTTCATACTTTTAACAAGCTATTAACAAATAATTAAAAGTTTCTTGCATAAGATAATATTTATATTTTTGGTTTCTTTTTACTTCTTTATTTCTTTATTTAAAAAATTTTTTTTTAAAGTCTTTCTTTTGACTTGTAATTGTTTTTGTTATTTAAATTTTGTTAATATTGACTTTTAAAAGGGCCTTGTGAAAAACACATTTAATTTGTGATCAAGTTTTCCGTTTTCAAATAAAGTCATTATTATATTATTTTCTTATTGGTGATCTGCTTCACCAGCGGATGACCTCTTGTTATTGTCAGATATTTTTTTTTTTATTCTTCTTTCTTTCTCCCCTTTTCTGTTCGCACAATATCTCAAAATTGCTGCGAGTTACAAACATGCTGGCTTCAAGGAACATTTGGCTTGGTCTGGAATAGTCATGGTACGCTTTTCAATGTACTTAGTCATGCGTGACATCATCTATGTGCAATGTATTTACATTATCGATCATACTGATTTAGCGTATACTTTAGGCTGTTTTTAGCATTTTAAAATTTTTCAATCCGCACGGTGCACACTTCCTGATTGTCAAAGTGCGGCGGATCACCTAACTTGTCCTCGGTGACGAGTTAAAATCTAGTTAATAATTATAATTATTATATATTATTATTAATAAAATTTACCATAAAACTAAAAACTTTAAATGCACACTCAACAAACCCTAATTTTATAGCAACCCTGAGAATTATATTTCATTAAACTTTTTCTCAGTTAAAATTTGATTGTTAACTATTATCTTAAAACTAACTTAATTTAACCTATGGAAAAGCTACCATAAAGAGGTACCTGTAGCATTTCCTTTTATTATTAGAATATAAATTTACCTTGAATGGACTGTATATTTAAAAATGATAGTGGGGAATATTATTTACCAAAAAATTCACAATCACTCAAAAACCAATCATATTTAAAGAATGCTATGAAGCATTTCAATATTACAATATTGTAAATGTTAATAAAAATATGTAATGAAATTCCATGATATTTTTAGTTGTTATATTATTAATTTGAAATTTGCTAAGCTATATATTTTCAGTTCTTTTTTCATCATTTAAATACATACTCTATATCATAATTGCATTTATCAGGATTTCTTATATCTAAGGTACAAACTTAGTCGAAAGAAACTCAGGATAACATGGGGTACGAAAAGATATGGGAAATGGAAGGAAAGGATGCTTGATATCTAGAATAATATAAAAAACACGGATAATATAAAAAACACTGATAATATAAAAAATAATCTATTGATTTTATTGTGGACTAGTCTTGGAATATAAACCCAAACAACACATATTAATATTTTTTACTTGTATATGCATCAGAAAAAAGAATTTTACTTGTGGATTTTTCGATAAGTGACAAAAAAAAGTATCTTGTGTCTGTATCTTGTATAGAAATTTAAATATTGTATATAAAATGGAACATTGTGTGTGCAGCACTGAATGCCATTCAAGAGCTAGACAGCATAATTTTGAATATTGGTAATTTAAATGTAAATAAAAGTCAGGATGCTATAGTTTAATTAATGAGATAATTTAACTGGTGTACTATACATAAGATCATAGTTTGAATAACCCCTTGTCTTGTATCACCTATCATAAATACATCTGAGGTACAAACATGGCCTGAAAGAAACTCAGGATAACATGGGGTACGAAAAGATATGGGAAATGATGCTTAATATTTAGGATAATATAAAAAACACTGATAATAAAAAATAATCTATTGATTTTAATGTTGACAAGTCTTGGAATATAAACCTAAACAACACATACAAGTGTAAAATTCCATACTAAATATAGTATTACTTTCATTAATTCACAAGAAGTAATTTCCACATTATGTCACAATTTAAAGAAAAAAATATGACCATAAAGTAACGTTCAGACAATAAACAGCTAATGAAACTGTAACTTGCGTTATTCTTTAAAATACAAGGAATTAGTAAGGCCAGTAAATACGGTATGGCTGCCTTTCACAAGTTGGAAATTTACAGCTTTATTTATATATTCTGTGGGGGGTTGTTGCTGCTGATTGAACAAGCAGAAAAATGTTTGCATAGGTCAGTCTATTTAAAAAAAACATAGGATGGATGGTTGATATCATCATGGAGGTAATAAATTTCAGGTAGATATGGTATTGTAAGATGGTTTATTGAAAACCTGTCAACATTGTTTAGAATTAACAGATGATTGGTTTAGTAGGTATGCTTTGTTTTTTTAACAGACATGATGATTGTTTTCCTACACGGAGGTGTTTTTGTTTTGTTTTTAGAAATGCTGTGCTGATAATGTAGAAATTATATTTAGTGAGTAAAAATTTCCTCTTTGCAAAATGACATCTTCAAGTTGGCAATATTCTTCCTTGAACACACATTTGCCGAAATATCTAATCATATACTTTTAGTGTTCATTGGACCATTGGCATATTATTAAAAATATTATACTTGACCATGTGGAAATGACCAAAAGAAATAATAGAAAACAAACTTGCACATCAGAAGTTCTAAAGCATTTATAAATGTACTCTAGCCAAACATATGTGAATATTAATATTAATATTCGAGCGATTACCAACCAATTACTTACTGTTTCTGTTTTATTGACAGAATTTGTTGACAGAATCACTGATGGTGTTCATTAAGATCAAGGAAGGGTTTACCATGCTTTACAAGTGCATTCATTAATATATATTTCTTTTACAAGGATTTAAAAATTTCCCTTGAAAATGACAAATTATAAAAACAATTATTTAAATTAACTTGCTTAATTTGCAATAACACAAATTTGAACATAGAAATTAATTTTAATAGAAATAATAAAACCTTCCAGAAACTGTTAGTGTTTTTATCATTGTTTTTATTCACTAATTTCATTGTTTAAGTCGATATCTTTTTTAAGTGCATACAGGCACGGCGCAATATGCGCTATATAAATGATTGTTATGATAAATATGATTATTATTAATAATAATTGGGAAATACAACTAAAAAAACATATCTGCACCAGACACATAAATTCTATCACTCCAATAAAAGATTGTCCCATGCAAAATAACAAAAACAATTTTTTTTTTCTAAATTAATTTGCACATTTTGAAGTAGACACAAAGTAGAAATTCAAAAATTATTGCTGTGTGTTCTCATGTGGTTACCTTAACACAAAGAGTATAGTTTATCATAAATATTGTAAAGCTATATGGTAAGTTTAAACACAAATATTAAAAGCTATAGGATTTCAATGATATAATATTTTTTTAAATATTGAATACAAAATGTATACTGCAATTCTACAATTTAGCTGACAAAAATTAATTGACAGGGAATTACAATGTATGAAAGTAACCGAAGGTGTCTAAAACCATGGGTTTGCCACTGAATGCTACAGTTTTTTCTCTTTAAACTTACTTTATACTGTACTCTACAAAGAGTCTCATTGTGTCAAGCTGTGCAAAATGGCACAAATATGTAGTGTATTCTATACACTTTAAATGAAAAATAAAAAAATATGTGATCTTGCAATAGTGGTGGTTAAAAGTCAGGTATCGAAGCACCTCTTTAGTGGGATAACTAAATGATGGGTGACTAGGGTGATAAAAATTTAACTTAACTCATCAGAATTAAAGTACAGTACACATCAAACTAAAAACATCACTACAATAGGCTTTTTTTAAGTGAAGCTTCTTTACAACTACTACACAGCCTGATAACATTTTGTTTCACTGTGGAATGATAAAGTACAGGGTAGTAATAGTAAGATACAGTATGTAATAATAATAACAACTAGAAATTGCAAATTGCAAGTGAAGTGCTGCGAAGTACAACTGCACATAAATGTTCTTCGAACAAAATTATTTATGCGAGTCAAGTGAAAATAATGAATAATAAAACTATAACAAATAATATGAGAC